GGGGCACTTGTCCAGGCATGCCCCCCTCCCTCCGCCCCTGTTACGTCCTATTTTTATTTTGACCTTTTGTGATCAATTTGAATACATCTTTGACTTTTAATTAAATAAAAATATATGATATATTAATTAGATAGAATAATATTTTCAAAAAAAATATTAGTTAGGAAAAACATGAAAAATCATTTTTGTATCGATATATAATACTCCGTATCAATTTTATTTAATTAATGGTCAAAGTTTATCAATTTCGACTGTAAAAAGTCAAAACTAAATAATATCGACGATTGACTAATCACGTATTCACGTTGTCATATTAAAATATCAGTATCCATTTCCCTCTTACACATCTCTACTTCTAATATTACATCACTTTCTCCTTCAATTTTGTCCACCATTTTCTATTCATTTTTTTTACATTTTTGTTAGGAATATATTGATATTAAATTTATATCATAATATGATGCATTTTTCTATCAATTTACGTCAAAGTTTAAAAACTTCAACCCAGAAAAATCAAATATGATGAATATTTTTGGATGGAAAGAATACTTTTTAGTTATCTAGAGAGATTTTTTACTCGGGAGTATATTAGAGCATGCGCAGCAGCGAGGCATTTCCTTGCTCGCTGCGCCACATCAGCTCCCTCGCCACTTTTGCCTCGCGTGGCTCAGCCTCCCTCCACGCCAAGCGTGTGAGGCGCGAGGCATCCTCAATTTTTTTTTATTTTTTATAAAAATAATTTTTTAAAAAAAAGAGTACATCTATATAAAAAAGATAAATGAAATAATTTTTAATGATTAAAATGCTTTAAAAAATCATAAAAATTGACAAAAACAATGACTTGCCACTGCACGAGATGCCTCTTCACTCACTTGCCACACGCTGACTCGATTGTCTTTTATTGGTTGAAATGTGCCACGTCAACGCGTGACATTCCATTTCATTACTTGCCATTGCATGTGCTCTTAGTGCGCCTCGGTTGGCCAAAATGCCCACAATGGGGCGAATGGGCTGTCTAATTGAGGATAAAACGGACACATGCATGTTCCTTGTTTTTTTGCAAAGCATGTTCCTTGTTCTCATGAGCTAGAAAATACTCTATCTGTTCTTAAATGATTATAATTTATGCAAAATTAAGTGTCAATTCATTTTATTTAAAGATTGATATATAAATAAAAAATAAAACTTACATTTTTTGAAAGTACATCAATGGTTCTACAAACTAAAAGGTGACAAGGATATTTTATTTTATCAAATAGTCAATGAAAACACACACAAATTAGCAAATGTTTCTATGATTTTGAATAATGAAGTGTAATCATTTAAGGACAGAGAAAGTAAGTAATTCGTTCCATGCCATAGTGAAACTAATTTGGAGTGTGCTAGGGATATCCCAATTAAACTTTATGTCCGGCGCGTGCATCAATGTATCATAGACACACAATGATTATTTTGATCTACATAGACAATAATTATCTGTGTGTGTTTGTGCAATACAGGTGTGTAAATTTGGTACAAAATTTGGGGCACGCTTAACTTTTTCCAACTAAAACTGACATATATGCATGATGTAAAATAGTGCCAAACTCAGATGTTAGAATATGTTTTTTTGTACATGTTAAAATGGATTTGTCAAAAAAATTAGATGCGGGTGGACGTAGCGTCGTTGGTAAGAAGAGCGGTGCCAAAAGAATAACACTCAAGTTTGATTTATGACAACTATTCTGAGAGAATCTATGATAAAAATAATGACTTTCTAAATAATGATTTCGTGACTTAAATCATTATTTGTGATTAAAACCTAAATTTAACTGCGCCTTACCGGTTATGTGGGCCGTGAGAGATGGGGTCCTCTTTTAAAAAAAGTTTGGCATGGAAATTCTCCCACCTGAGGTCCGTACAATTGTGATGTGGCTCTACTGAACTTGTATGGCAATTTGTGGGCCACAGTTTTCTTCTTGACAGTTGAGACGACTGAAGATGCCTTCTCTCTCCAAATTAAAGAAAAAGGGAAAGACATGTGGCCCCGTTTGACATTAGCGATAGAGATTATGCTATGTGCTTTGACGGACATGACGGGGGTTGACGGAATGTGAAGGTGTATGATATGGAGTGATGAAAAATATACTCTCTCTGTCCCAAAAAGATTTACATGTTTCAAAAAAAATGTGTCCCACAATCCCTTACCCATTTACATTAAAAAAACACTTTTACCCCTTACTTTTTCAAACCCTACCTATCACATCATACCTTTTTCCTAATAATCTACACATCACATCCTACTTTTACCCATCACATCAAGGGTATTTTTGGAAAGTCAACACAAAATTATCACTCTCTTAATTTTAATTTTAGTCAAAATGGGTAACACTTTATGGGACGGAGGGAGTATGTTACCGTAAGTGTGAAAGAATGTGGTGAGGCGTGAATGTGTGTTAAATTTTGATTAATTGAAATTGAAAAAAGAAAGAGGAAGAGGGGGCAACGCCCTTGAGGGCCGTAACCGGAATATGGGCAACGCCCGGTCACATATGGCCTGTTATGGAAGAGGGGCGTGACGGAGGGTGTTGAAGCCCCTCCTCACGCCCCATAACACATAGCCTTACCGTTAGTGTTTCAAAAAGATTATCTAACAATAGCCTTTAGGATTAACATTTTCTGAATTAATCTAAACCGTTAATATTATATCGAAAACGCTAATGCTAATGCTAATTGGAAATAGTCTTCCCAAAAAGCCACGACGATAGATGTGAAATGCGGAGTAATAATTAATTCTTTCATACTTTGTAAATCTTTTTCAAATAACTAGTATCACACCCGTGCGTTGCACGGGTCATAGTTACGGTACTAACTTAAGATCATTTTGAAGAATATAAATTGGTATATAATGGAATATAGAGATTTAATTATTTTAAAGTACAAAAGTAAAATGATTTACAAATTTCGAAAGACTTCTTTATAAACTACATCACTCGTATGTATAATTTGTGTAAGCATTCACTTCATTGTATATCAGAATCTTCAAGCCATTGTGATTTATTACTCTTTAAACTGCAACATACACTTTCTCATGACTAAATATCAGTTTCCGTAACAATAATTCAATATGTTTCAGATATTGTTCTTGATAATAATTCAATAATTTGACTTATCTAAGTAAAAATTCAACATATTAGTGTATTTATTTTGGAATTTGTATTTTTTAATTTTATTTTCGTATTTAAGTGGTACCATTAACTTACCCTATAATATTTGTTTTCTATTTTATTTTAGATCACTTACCATTTTTACACGTATCCATGCTTGTAAATTATAGTATTAATAGTATTTATTTTAAAATACTTATACCATTGTTACATGTTTCCATTCTTATAGTATTAATAGTATTAATTTATAATTTTTTAATTTTTGCATTTAAATGGTACCATTTGCTTAATGTACCATATTTATTTTTTAGTTTATTTTAATAACACTTATTATTTTTACATGTTACCATGCTTGTAAATTGTAGTATTAATTTATAGTATTATTTTGTAGTTTTCT